AATAACTTCGTATAGCATACATTATACGAAGTTATACGCTCTCTCTCTCTCTCTCTCTCTCTCTCTCTCTCTCTCTCTCTCTCTCTCTCTCTCTCTCTCTCTCTCTCTCTCTCTCTCTCTCTCTCTCTCTCTCTCTCTCTCTCTCTCTCTCTCTCTCTCTCTCTCTCTCTCTCTCTCTCTCTGTTTGCATTTGTGAACAGACATCCGATGTATCGCGGCTAAATTACGAGGCAAGTTTGAAGATCGCTGAGATGATAAGTCATGTCGTCAACTGTCTGGTAGCCAGTCGCCAGGACGGTGGCCGCGCATAGCGATGATGCTCTAATTTCACCGAACAGCGATCCAGTTTGCCTCGCCAACAACGGCCGACACTCTCGCGCATTCCGCTCGAGTGTGCGATCTTTGAAAGATTAACGAGCATCGCAAATCCGACAGAGATCGGCGGAGCACGTTCGGCCGGCTCGCTTCACGTTCAGCCGTTGATCTTCCTCGCCGGAAGATCGAGAGCGGATGAATTTATTCGGATGAGAGAGAGAGCCTCCCCCTCCCCCCTCCCCTCCCGCGAGTGTCGAAGTGCGTCGTAAAGCACGCACATCGTCCCGAGAAGAGACGGAAGATATAAGGAGGATGCCTAGCGTTAATATCAAATTTGCGCAGCAACGGGATACTCGGGCGAATGGGCACGAGAAACAAGTATTTACCGGGGCGATGGAAAAACATCGTAAGAGGTAAGGAAGCGTAATTTGTGTTTGTTTTGGACAAGTTTCGCCGGATGCGCCACTTTGCCAGCCTTCTTCACTGATCTTCCTCCGTTCCGCGTCGATCCGAACGAACAAGTGAGTGCTTGTAAAGCTGACGCTCGTGAAAATAAGACCGATATGCAAAGCAAGCATAAAGAAATGATTATATAAGAACAGAGCAAGAGAGAGAGAGAGGGGGGGGGAAAGAAAATAGGAAGACGCCGCGCAACGACATTATCCGAGAAATGTCTTCAAGGACTGCTTCTTCTCCTTTGTCTTCGTTTTCGCTGTACATAGATATTCAACAAAAGATGGTATTAACATTCCCAGCGTTAACGTTTACAAAGGAAAACAGCATTTCATCGCGCCGCTTGCGGTGTACACGAAGGTTTTAGCAAAATGCGAATACAATGAGCGAGCGAAAATTCATCGACGGAAGTGTGAGAAACGTTTCCTCATTTTGAGCAATTTTCAATTCATTCCAAAATGATGCGCGCGCCTTCCATCTATTTTAATTAAAACTGTGGAATTTTATCAATCTAAATTTATCAACGGAAGGAAGTGCCAGCTCACAATACGATATCATTTTGAGCGGATGTCCAGATGGACGCGAGGACGCGATGTACACTCTGAGAAATCATGGACGCGCGATACGGCAATGAATCGGATTATGCGGCTGCTTACCAGTCAATCCCGATAAGGGTGATGTATAGGGTGATGGGTGTTAACGTAAATCGCCATAAATTATAATTTCATGGCTTCCGCGATAAATTCTCGATAAGCGAGCCGAAAGCAAGGATATCGAAGCGCGCGACCGGAAGAAGCGGACAATCACAATCGACGTTTCAACTCGGAATCAAGAGCTCGCGACGACGGCCGTTTCTTACGAAACGAGTTCGTTGCTGATGTGTACATTTTTTTTTTTTTTTATCATTTTGCATTCGATCTGCGGTGCATCATCAACCTTTCATCGGGATTAACAGCGCCGAACATGCGGCGCAAAGAAAACAGGTCGCGGCAATTCGGCCAAATGTATTTTTCTCCGACCTATTTTTTCTTTTTTTTTTTTTTTTTTTTTTGAAGCTATATTTTGAATTTTCGAGATAAACGCGAATAGCCGTATAGACATTTCGATTGCTCGCTGCGATGCGCGCTACTACAATTTCGGAAATGCGCGTAACAGTAAACATCACGAGAGAGAAAGAGGAGCTCCAACAGCAATATTTTATCAAATGTAAATATATCCCGGTTTTGCCACGTATACATTATTTCTGGAGAGCACAAGGGTCATGTTTCAGCGTACGTGTACTTTTCGAGAGTTCTCGGAGCTCCGTCCTATTTGAAATATCTATCAATAATCGCGTAAGAACACGGAAGTGTAAATATCACGAGGAAGAAGCGGCTGCTAGCGTTCAGTCGCTTTGTTTCCGCAGAATGTGCCGAGAATTATTCTTGCATAGATAAACACCTACGCCGATAAACAATTGTGTGGAGGACGTGACGATGAGAGATGCTTTCCAGGATGGCGATTACGCGCCGGATTAGGATCAGATTTAATCAGCCTTCGTTTTGTAATCCCTCAATGCGGAAGCTTGTGGTAATAAAGCGATAAAGGCTCACGGTTGCGCATCTTGTATATTTATGACGCCATATCGCTTTACTGCATCCATGAATAGAAAGCTCCAGGGAACGCAAGTGACACTACATCCGGATTACCAGCTTCCAGAGACGGGACGTTCGCGAGAGAATACAAAGGTACTCTATATTCATCGCTCTATTAGATATGTGCTCGCGGAAAAACGGACATCCATTACGTGATTGCCTCTGTCGAAAGAGAAGAACGAGTCCCAATTCATCCAGGAACAACGATAATTAATAACATACTCGTTCTACGTGGTTCACACCTGCTTTCTTATTTACCGCTCCCGGAAATGTTATTTAAAGTAGAATTGAACTGGTCTGAGAAAATCATTCAAATCTCTTTAATGGAGCAATTTTATCGCGACTAATGTTATTTACAAATTCCAGCCACTAAAATCTCAATCCAACGTCACGTTTTTGTCTTCGCAAATTCGCCTAATTTACACTTATCTTTTCCATGAGCGAACAAGTTATAGCGCGGCATTTTATTATGCAATCCCGGAAAATTTCACTTATCTTGCGATGTAATTCAGCAGCATAATTATGTTGATTTTCGAGGTACATTTTATATATATCGTCGGATTTCCATGTGCGGCGAGGAAGATGTAATACTTGGCAAAAATGGTTTCATCAGGAAGATTACGCTATTAATACGGAATTGGGTCGATACAGAGTAGAACGTCCTTCTCGAAATCCCAATTTCGTCGGGACTGTAATCCGCCGTGCAAAACGCCCATCAATATGCACGTAACTGTATGCGCATAATCGTCCAGGACGAGACGGATCGACCAGGAGAACGCGAAGATATATGTGCACGTTGTATCGAAGAAAGAATTAATTCTACTTCGAATGATAATTATTACTTTATTGCGATAGTATTGAATGAGTGTAGAAAATTATTCATCATTTTCACCGAATTTCAATCGATTCTCGCGATTATCGTGCCGAAGAACGATTCTCACGAGTGAGTCATTTGCCGACTTGAAAACTTCTTACGCACATATTAACCGAAGAATCCAGTTTATAACGAAGCGCACCACTGAACTCTGTCTTTATCTTTCTTTTCAATTCATCCGCGCGAGCTGTATTGACAGCTTTACATATTTGCTTGACCCATCTGCAGCGATTCCGCTTTCAGGCGAGATTCGCTCGACCAGATAATTTAATCACCGTCGTTTCATCTACAGTATCTCGTTTATGTGAGACAGTTTAAGATTTAATTAGCCGTGATTCCTAGTGTCCAGTCGCGCGTTAATTTCATTTTAGTATTATTTGATGAAATAACGTCCCTCGGTATTGAAAAAGCCGAGATGCCGATAAATGACGTGGTGCTGATTCTACTCTTAAATTATTCTTAACAAACCGTCGCCATTTTTCTCGTTAAAATTCCACGTAACAAAAGACTGTGTGAAGTCGAGACGTAATTCGGAATTATCAACTGGAGGGGTTAAATCCAATAAAATTATATTTATAACGAACGATGTATTTTACTTATGGTTGTGTTTCGTTAATTAAATTGAACTAAATCTTTCCATCATTACAAAACAATTTTCTTAGCCACGATTGAACGCATTTAAATTGGTTTATAGAGCGTAGTCTTTAAAAACATTTTTACGTTTTCCGCCATAATTAATGATTCCTCAATGCTGATTTCGCAATTACACGTAATGAGAACTCGGTAAAAAAAATATAGCGGCAGTTTACTAAACGACGAGTAATTAAATGCCACGGCGGGTGTCGGCGTCAATTGGTCAAAGCGTAATGATTTCTGGCATACGAAATGTGCGCACAAAAATACAAATCACACTAATTGGTCACTCGCCGACACTTGATTACAATCTCTACGCTTTTGCGATAGTCAATCTCGCGTTTTAAACTATGAAAAGGTAATTAGATTCACAATAATTTTTTTCATTTTGTTGAGTTGATGGATATTATATTCCGACAAAGAATAGAAACCAACAAGAAATATAAACCGACAAAGAATATAAACCAACAAGAAATATAAACCGACAAAGAATATAAAAGTGTTCGCTCAAAATTTTAAATGAAAATTCTTTTGATTCTATTGCTCGCTATAATTCCACAAAACTATTGATATTCCGACATTCGAAAGGATCATTGATCCGATATCGATATCAATAATCCAAAGATAAAATTGATTTCTCCGTATCCTTGTGGTATACATCCCAAATAATCTCACAGTTAAATAAATCTCAATTTCACTGTTCCTTTCTGAAGAGATTTTCATCGTGCAATTGGATAAACCTTGACTTCCGCACTGACCCTTAACTTTGACCCACCCGAATGTTCCAAACGATGATTATCACGCACGACTTTACACGCGCGTCGGGTCAAATTATGCATTTATTTCGTTATCCTTCGCGAAGACCAATTTCTTCACGGGACATGATCTCACTTTGCTTTGAACGGGGCGATTTAACTCTGACGTAACACTCACCGATGCAGACGACAAGCGCCACTACGAGAATCGGCGGGAAAGCCCTCGGGGACGAAAGCATGCTGCGGCCGAGATGTCTGCTCAAGGGAAAGACGATATGCACCCGCGACAGGGAGAAGAAGAGATCACTCAGCCACTTCGGAGCGTCTACGCGGGACCGAAGATCGCGGACTGATGGAGCCACCCGGAAGGGGCGCGACCGAGACGACGGCCCGCGCGAAACGAAAACGAAAGAAAAGGCACTGCGTGCACCGACTCGCTCTCTCCAGACGACCCGCTCGAAATCCTTCAATCTTACGTCAATCACTGATAAATCCCCGGAGGATGCTCCACTCCCACGGAGTTGACACGATCGGGGATCAATCTCGATCCCGCACTGAGACGTATCTGGGGCGCGCGTCAACAATCGTCCTTTTCCTCTTCCCAAATATTTATTATCAAGTCTCTCCTCGCGTGTAATCAGCGCGGTACGCGCTCTGATTCTTCTTTCTTTTCTCTCTCTCTCTTTCTCTCTCTCTCTTTCTGTCGTATAGATCCGCCGCGCGATTAATCGACAAATAGGTGTCACGGGTGGTACCTCACTCGGAAGGGGTAGGTAGGTGAGAGGGGGCAGCTTTTACAAGGAGGTGCGTCCTCCACCAACATACGTCTGTTGCGGCGCCAACGTCGGACTGACTTTCTCTACGTTACGGCTGTTCTGCAGCAGTGGCGACGTGCGGCGTCGCGCCGCGCCGCGCCGAGCCGCGTCGTCGCGCGGGTACGTCCCGTGTCACGTGTGCGCCTGTGGGCGTGCTCCGGATGCAGCAGGCCGATGATGCCGTCGTGTGCGAAAGCGAGGCGTCCACGACGCTCCAAAATTCGGCGCGTCCGCGCCTTCGTGCCGCGCGGCGTCGAAACACCGCTCGGCCACGTCGAAGTGGAAATATACCGAAGCTAGTCAGCCGGATATGAGCCGCGGTCGGCTCTACTGTATTATGAGCGTGCGGAGATTAACAATGGGAAATAAATAACTTTGTTTTTAACTTTTTCACATAAATACCCGGACTTGAAACATTAAACTAGTCGGACATTGAAGCGTCGCCAGTCAAACACAAAGTGGTTGTAACGCGAGAAGTTTTGCGGAATCGCAATTCGCGTTCGCTTTCATTCGCGACAATTCAAGAACGCTGAGAGATGCAGCAATTCATTAAATCGCTCATCTTTCAGCATCGTATTTCAACAAAACAATTAAAGCCCAACATTGTTGATTATAAGCGGCATTTATTAAGATAGAAATTATCGTGCTATATGCGTCTGGACAAATAGCTCTCGTCTTAATTAAAAAATTTCTCATTACGCTTATCGCAGTGAGCATAAAGTTAACGGAGCAGCGATATTTGAGGAATTTATTCATTAAAATATAATACAAATTCTTCTATTGTGAAAAACAGGAGTGTGGATATTTGGTTTTCAAAGAATTCGTCTTTGAGAAATTTTCACTCAAATAAAATCACGCGGAGTAGAAACAAACGAAATAAGAAAATGATTGGTGGATAAAACGAGTGCTTTCTTTGATAAATCATATTTTTCTGCACAAGGATGCAGTGTCCTTCAACGGAGCCGTAAACACGTTTAGCGCACCCCATCACGCATTGCAGCGCGTATGTCGGTTTACATATCGAGTTATCGCAGTGTGCATTCGCATCATAGTTATCGGGCAGTGCATACAATGTGTGCGCGTGCATATAATGTAGCAGCAACATAGTGCCATGTGGCATCAATCATAGGATTTCCTGCAGGTGAAAGGCCAGTCAGTTCCCTCTGCGCAGATTCGTAACCCCCTCCCCTCTCTCAATCCCTCTCTCTCTCTCTCACTTCCGCCTCTATCCCTCGCTTTCTATTTTTCCAAGTCCGATCATTCGGAAAAATTGAGCAACCTTCGGATATTGAAAAAAAAACTGGAAATGGAAAAGAATGAAAATGTAGAAAAGAGACGGCGAAAAAGATCGAAATTTTATTCAAATATATTTTCTGGGAGAATATAGAAAATTTTCGATTATGATCAAATTTGGAAAATTACTAAAAGTTTAGAAGTCTTAAGAATAATTATGCGAAGTTTCTTGCTCGTTTTTCGACGAGAGAAACAAAAGTTTCTCTAAGATAAGAATTATTTATTTATACATAAACGCACACCGATTTTCTATTGTTCAACATTTTTATGTGGACAATAAAACACAAGCTAAGTGCAAATATTCATATCATTTTTGCACGCGATGTAATATCACTCCACGCGTTGCACACATAATGTTCCGTTAAGAAAAAATTCAATATTGCAGCGTTAATATCATTTTGGCCATATCGTCAAAGTGTCTAGTTCATAAACTCTACGAGCTACATAATTGCGGAATCATACCGCTGATGCTGCGACACTGAAGCAATAAGCGTAAAGCTCGATTTTCCTTTAATTAATAACTGACGACAAGCAAAGGTGATGCAACATACTTTGCATTTTTTATGAATAAAATGTAAATTAAAATAGGTGAAACTATATGTGACTTTAAAAATGTAACAAAGGAGTGGCTTTTATTTTAAATATGTTATTTGACGTAGCAGGAATGTGATAAGTATAATATTATACATGAAATTGTTACGCACGTATGTACGCACGCATGCAAGAAAAATTACGATCGTTAAAAGGGATTCTTTAAAATACTCTTCGAAATTTTTTTTCTTTAATAAACATTTTATTTAAAGTGGAGATATTGCGCACGTTATGTCTTGTAGAAATTAAAAACGTGTCATCTTTAAAACATGGAATAACGTATACACAACAATTCCACTCTGCAATTTTGTAGCGTGTTCTTGCGCAAATTAATTATATGCATATAAATGTAAATAGAATAATAGCGAGTGTGTGTGTACAAATGCATAAATTAAATTTGCGTGTATACAAACGGGAAGATAAAACCTTTCATGTGTATTTTAAATGTATTAATGTACACGTTTATTATGATAATTAAATTTGTGGATATACGTGTACGATTGGAATTAAATTAAAGTACTTTTTATAGAGTTTACAAACGTTACGTTACTTACTGATATGTATTAAATGTAATGTAAATAATCATTAAATATTAAAAAACTTACGTTATTTTAAAGTACGGCAAAACCATTTATTATTTAGCTTGTGAACGAATTTATTTAAGATAATTAAATAGCGTAAATGATCTTTGCATATCGTTTCAGAAGAGTAAAATTTGTTTTACTTTGTAGGTCGTAATATAATTTCATCGGCATATCAAAACTGTAATACAGCGATGAATTAATTCTTGATCAAAGAAAGTGGGCAAACATAATTTATTAATAATTCTATAATAAACTATTGTTCAATATTTATTATTTAAAGTACTCTAGAAAAAGCTGCTAAATAAAAATGTTTTAAAAGGAGAAGCTATTAAAGCCCGAGCTGGAACTTAGTGTTTAAATAAATATTTTTATTAATATATAACCATTTGCACAAACGTTTTGACCATATTTTTGATTATAAAAATATTTACTTGAGCACTAAGTTCTAGCTCGAGCTTTAATAGCTTCTCCTTTTAAATTATTATTTTATAATAAGAAAGCCAAAGTAATTACAATTGTAAAAATGTTTTATTACTAAGAGACCGAAGCATAATTATAAATATAAACATTTTCAATGATACTTCTATCTTATTATTTAAAAAACGAATAACTGGTAAGAAACCACGCGATAGTTATATGATTACAAAAAAATAGCGAGAACAGAAGAAACGATCAAAAATAAGAATTTTAAGTATGTCAAGAACATAAAGTTGATAAACAGACTTTTTTTCTATAATTTTTTTAAATTTTAGATAAAAGGTGTATATAGAACTGTTACGAGCGAAGGCTATTAGGCTAATCTACATATAATCGTCACATCAGCAAACTGTCTCCATCTGCTGGATTCAGCTGTCCTGCCGACAGAAACGGAAAGATCGATGTAGAAAGGGTGAAAGGCGGCATTATGACATTATTAGTTACAGCTACTCTATATATAAGATGACATTTAGACCCATTTACGAATTATGCTAGCGTCTGGAAAATCAGGGAAAATTTAGAAGCAAAGCATTTTTGAAATGTTTTAATTATCAATAATGTTTTACATTTTTATATGATATAATGATTCAAAGCGCTACACTATTTGTCGTTAGATTTTTTTTATTTTCTCTATTTTAATTTCACAAGCGATAGAACAACGTAGAAAGACACTATTACAGTAACGAACAGTTGAGATATAAAGCCGATTACAACGAGCTGAACAACGACATAATTATAATTGAAGTGAAGAAGTTTGTAGATAAAGAAATGAATCTGACACCACGATACGCATCACGATACGCTGACAACACGAAATGCTAGAGATAAAGATAATGCAAAACGTGTAAACGTGCAAGCCAATTGAATTTACATGCCAAATTTATCTGCTAACTTATATATCTTACTACGTAAAAAAAGTGGAAGAAGACTGCGTCGCCTACAAGTCTGGCATTCGTAGAGGCAATCGCCTTCTGTGAATGTGGCAAAAAGGAAATACTCTACTGGACAGAAGCCACAGTCAAGAGGACAGGCTTTAGAAAAAGACACATTCAACGTATGTCTGGCATAGTATCATCTAATATTTTCAAATTACAGCAGCGACAACGCATATTGCATCTCATATCAGCAGAAAATACAACAATTTACAATAACAGGGAAAATTAAAAAAATTGCTTCTAAATTTTCCTGATTTTCCAAACGCTAGCATAATTCGCTTAAAAATACAACAGATCCAATCGTATACGAGAACAAGGTATTCACAATGCTTTAAAATTCCATTTGCACTTTTGAGTGGATGAACAGCTTATGAATGCCTTGATCTCATTAAAATCGAAATATTCCAATTAGAATTAGCTCGATATAATACATCACTATCTGTGTTCATCTTTGTTATATTTACAAAAATGATCGATAAAGAAGTAATATTGATAAGAAATAAGAAATTTATAGTGTATTTTTGATACATGTATTTTTTATCAAATATATATTTTTATATGTATATGTATTTTTGATACATGTATACACAATATTTGACTTACAACTGAACTAAAGTACTGAACTGAATTAGACATTGACAGGCATTTTTTATATGAAAATCTATCGTCACGATTTATCTCAACTCGCTAATTCTCAGGAAAAATAGTCGGGAAATACTTAGGAATATTCAGGGGAAAAGATGTAATATTTAATTACAATATGTACTTATATAATAATTATAAATTAAATAAATTTAAAAAATTAAATTTAAGTCATGCTATTTCTACCTGTACAAATTGCTCCTCTTAATTAAAAAAAACTCCTCGTTATTTTCATCATATTAAGAATAATGCTTGCAGGAAAACCAGGATTAAAAACTTTATTGAAATATAATGCTTTAATTAAGATAAATGTCTGTTTTCTGTATGTAAAATGTATAAATGTGTGTGCACATTTGAGATAAAATAAGATATTTTCCATGGGTTATAAATTTAAATTTAACACAGAAAATAAAAACTCAAGTTTTAACTCGTTGAGAATCTAATGAACAACTTGCAACTGACAATGAGTAGAAAACTCGTGTTGATGGCAGCACATTCCTGGACTCACTGTCGGCTGCAACTGCACTGCCGACAGATACTGCAAAAATCAATAATAGCAAAGACGAAAGACGGCACGTCGACATTTACAGAAATGAAAACCGTTCTGCATAGAACACGACACCTAGAATCATTTATGCTTTTACGACTTATGCATTACTGTCTGAAAAATCAAGAAAACTTAGGGAATTTTTGTTTTGCTTGATATTTCAGAACCAAGGAATTTGGAATACGTTAATGATTTATGATTTTATTCAATTCATATTAAAAACGTAGTCATTTCTGTTCCTATTTGAATTCTAAAATCCTAATATTTTAACAAATTTATCATTAGAGCTCTATTAAACCGTAAGAGATTAAAAATTTTTATACTTCTCTAAAATAAATATTTATAAAAATGAAGTTAACATATTATATTGTGGTAGATTTTATCAATTAATTTTATTATCTGTTTTAACGATTATAATATTATTTCCATACCATGTTTCGTTCTCACTATCGATAGTGCGAAGTATCGACATGTCCCTTGCGATTTTCTCGCTCACCGAGAACGCGCGCTTGCCTTGGCGAGGTATCGCTGCTTGGAACCGATACATCGATACTTTTTCTGCTCCGACCAACTTCGACCAGCGCTCCAATGCTCATCCCTAGACCCAGGTAACAACACGCAGTGATAGTGGTTGCCGTGAATGGGCGGCCAGAGTGTAAGATGGCGGATTGCGAATCGGAGGTGCAGCGGTTACCAGCCGTGAATCAAGACGGCAGTACGAGGAGCGCAGCGACCGTGACAATGGTGAACAATAACGGGCGCGTGCCGCAGCATCCTCCGGCTGCCGGACCGGATAAAGACCCGGTCGGGCAGGGGCCGCGGTGCGTAACAATTTACAAAACGGAGACGGGCTTCGGGTTCAACGTACGCGGCCAGGTCAGCGAAGGTGGACAACTGCGGAGCATCAACGGCCAGCTGTACGCGCCGCTGCAGCACGTAAGCGCGGTGCTGCCGCGAGGCGCCGCCGAGAAGGCCGGCGTTCGCAAAGGCGATCGTATTTTGGAAGTGTGAGTAGAAATTGTCCCTTTCTCTCGCGATTCTGCGGCGTCCGCCGGGAGCGTCTTGCTCGGATCCTTGGTGCGGCGCCTTCGCCTGGAAACGCGTCTCCTCGCACGTAGTACGCGACTACGACGCATCGTGCATTCGCTCTGATGTAATTTCATCATTAAAACGTTCTGGGCTGTACGCCAGATTGTATTGGAATTTGTGTAATTGGATCTCGAAGAGTCAACACAAGATTCAGCCGCGGTTAATCTTCTACATTTCGGAGCAGTCGATCAAAGTGAGACACGGATATGTCCATGCGCGGATATGGAAAATAAGGATCTGTACAAACGCTAGGATTTATTAAATGAAGGATTTATGGTATACGTGACTCAGGAAAGAATATATAGCATAGAAGTTTTGCATTATTCAACAAAAAAGTTTCAACACTCTCGACGATAAAAATGACAGCTTAATGGTAGCTTGAACAAAACTTCAAATAATTATGTATGTTTATCGGAGTTTTGCATACAATTTTTATTTGATGAAAATAATTAATTCTGTACTTACTTGCAAATATCAGCTGTGTCGTCCCACGCTTTAAACATTTTTTCTCCAAAATGTCGATAAGCGCGTCCGTGACTCGCTCGTTGCTTTTTTTTCAGAATATTTAAATACCGGCGACTTGCAAAATACAACAATGAATGGATTCCCGGAATTTTTCTATTTAACATTTTTGCGTCTTGTTTATGCGATTGTGTTGTGCATACACATCCAAAGTTTCTGTTTATTTATGATACTCACACGGGAATACATTAATTGCGCGCTGGCTTTATTACATATTCATTGAGGATTAGTTGCTTATAGCCTAGCTTAGCAACTAACCTTATTCAACAATCTGCATGTAGTTTGCTAGAAATATAGCTACCGTAGAAGGTATATTTAGATTGTCTTTAGATGCACTCTGACCGATGTTTTCACGGTTTTTAATAATTTTTTAAATTGTAACTTATCTTGTTTTTTTTTAGAAGAAAAACTACCAGTTAATTGTACCAATAAGTCAAAATTATCACTTCCTGATAATTTTATCTCCTATAAATTTAGGAATATAAAGGTTCGGTGTCTGACATTTGAGAGTGGTCCCATATATCTACTGATTTCCATTATCAATTATCTTGGAGGCGCAGAGGACAGAAAAGCGACATAAAGATATCGTGTACCATAACTTTTCGACAAGATAATGAGTGGAAAAATTCGTCGCAACAGCAATGTTAGCGCGATAGAATTCGAAAGAGCAAATCATGACACGTACACACGTGACGTTGTCTGCTTCGCAAATTCTGATGCAAGGACGATAAAATGTGCACGATGCGTGACGAACGCGCTCATCTGCCTGATCTCGTTTGCGGAGCTTAACAAACGCGACAGCGTTTGCAAAATCTGCCGTGCCTGCGAGATCCAAACCAGTTTCTATCGTGGACTGCAGCCGTGGAATCTGTAGCCGATTATTTCAATTTTTTCGGTTTAACCAGTTAGCCGCCGGTTAAACAGATTTTTAAGGAAGAAAAAAAGCGAATTACATTTATTCAAATCTAATGCAGTGTTATTTTCAAATGACAATTATTTTAGTCGCGGTCCAATTTAATAAATAAACGTTCCGGCTATAGAATGATTTTTCTCGGCTTGTTTTGACGTCGGGAATATTGCAACACTTAATTATGATAAACGCGGTGTTCGCCTGTGACGATCTTTATTGTCGCGCATTAACTATTAGTTAGCCAACTATCTAATTGAGTTGCTAAAGCGTCTGCAATTTCCGTCGACGGGGTCGTTAGCGCCCTTGGATTTGCATACTTGATCATTAGCCGACCTGCCTGCGTGCACAGTGACAATGTTCTTCAATCTATTTAATTAAAAGTCAGTTTGCCTAAACTTGTTTTTAGAGACATTTGATGATACACGCGAGACGATTCATCGTCGAGGAGGAATTTCCACAATAAACTTTATGTAAACATAAAGATAACTGCAATAAAAATTGCAATGCAATAAATTAAAATTATTAAACGAGGAAAAGTTCGAAACAATAATAATTCCTCACACGCGTCGCTTTACTTTTTTTACTTTCTGTGATAAAATTGAGAGTCGATGATACATCGTATCGATTTCCAGAAATTTCCCTTCTCACGCGACGTTTATTTTAGAAATGACGCAAATCAATTTTTGATGGCCGATCGGATTAAATAAAATATGACTGTAAACACGCGATCTTTTTCATCGTTGATGACAATTGATTTACAATTAGACGGAGAGAAAGGAAGAAAAATCACCGAGTGTTTTGAGGTCGATACTTGGTGTCGTAACATCATTGTCTCTCCCGCGGCTATTAAGCGTCTTCCGCTTGCCAGTCGCATGGATAAATGGCTCGTTTGTTTGCGACGCGTGTTTCGGCGGGCTGAAGATTGCAGAGATGGAATTTGTTTGCTACTCTCGCAGGTCCAAGGCTCCCATAAACTCCGCGCGGTTCAAGGACTGTCAGGCGCCTTGCGAGGGACCTGTCGATCTCGCCCTATTCGCAGTTTCTCGTTTTACAGGGTCGCGGGATTTTTTTTTCTCCGCCGATTGTCGGCGAGACGGCCAGAAATACTCGCGTCGATTATCCCGGAATAACCGGGTGTAATTTCGACCTGTCATTCGATCTCGCGTATTCTCGTTAATCGAGGCGTGCACCATGAGAGATTGATGGAAACTTTTGCTTTCCCTTTCACCCGACAATGATGCAGTTTCCACAACGACTTGCTTGTACATTGCGGCCAGCATCTATCTACTTGCCACCGTTCATTACCTTCTGCCTACGTCACCGGATTAAATCCAGCAGTTTTTTAAAGCCTGAAAATTGACTGCCACGTTTTTACTCTCCGGTCGATCCTTTTCAGCTTCTGATATTAGTTCTTTAATTCGTGTATTATTTGTTGCGCGATAAGCAATAGTTTTAACAAAAACCGCAAACTGTACGCTGTTTTTTTACGTATACATTTTCTATATGACTTCTTTTCTTACGCTAGTGTTAATATCCTTAAAAGGCTTATCCTTCATATGGTTTCTACAAAATTGTTGCATATTATGTAACTAGCTTGACAACGTATTTTTTCAATGATCAAAGAAATTATTCTCGGCGATAAAAGTAGCAGTTTTAATTTAAACAATTATAAATGAATCTGAATAAATTTTAAATAAGATTCTCCTGGATTTGAAGGTTTAACGATGACTTTTATTTTAAGAAGCAGCGATAAATGTGAATATTACATAAAAAGAGCCGCTTATTGCACACACATCCGACGAAATGAACAGTCATTCACACAGAATTACCGTCAATCTTTAAGTTCTATTAGGAGCATCATTAACGTAGGTGGAAATCATAATGACTCGTACGCTTTATTATCTCGGTTAAGTGCAATTAACGGGCTCGGCCGCGAATATTTTGCAAATGAGTTTCAAATAGTGCAGTCGGTGCATTTATAATCCTCACAGCAAAAAAAAAAAGGAAGCTGACGCACACACAGCGCGTATCTCGCTATACATTTAAATACTTGTAACACTAGCTGCATGCGCGAGCCCACATTATCTCTCTCTTCTTAAACAGATACACGCGGTGTGTTATTGACGATTTATTTTACTTCTTATCTCCTAGTCTAATTTAATAACCCAACAAAATATTTTTTGGAGTCGCATTTAGTGCAAATAACATTTTGACATATGTATTGCGGAAAAGCAGAGTTTGTAGCGAGCCCAAGTGTGTGTTTGTCAACGTTTGTTATTGCCTTTGGATAATAATTAAAACTTGATAATTCTGATAATAATTATAATATCGGCGTATTTATATGGAATGCGCTCACATTTTCTGATACAATTGTGAAATTATATAATGATAAGTAGATACGTAGCAAGAGATACGATAAGTAGAGCAATTGGCGAATAAAAAGGTCGAAGAGATAGATAAAGTCTTACAGAAGACCACCCGGTACACGATAACAAAGTGTATAAAGCTGGCGACGCGCGTTTTTGCGTGCAGACGTGGAAATCCGTGGCGGCGACATTCGTCGACCTCCGAGAGTGCCGTGCCTCCCTGCCTAACCAATCGCGCGAGTCCTTTCACTGTAGGAATTCGAAGCTCGTGTTAAAAAGGCCGATTACCGGTATTCCTATTCCCTTTCGACTGGCTGCAACGGTCGAGGGCCGCCGACAACGTGCGCGAGATCGGCCAGATCGCGTCTCGCCGAAGGCCCGCCTGTTTCTCTCGTTTCGCGGAAGATCGCCGAAAACCGGATGTGCCGTGCAAGCCGAGCGAAAAAGTTATTCCGCCTGACTTTTCGCGTCTGAAATTCCGCATTGCTTTTCGCCCGATCGACCGATCGTCCGTTGCAACAGCAGGCAGTAACAGTTCGCGCGTATCGACCACTGACGATTTTGCGAGATTAGCTTACTATCGCGCCGATAAGCACGTGTCCAGCACGAATATGTTAACGTGTTACATGACCGCACTGCAGTGCGAGTGGATCGAAAATCGTAGGCGATGGAATTCCATCAGCACGCTACGATCGCAATTCAAGTCGGTATCGTGCCAAATTATTGTAGATCGAGCGAGTGAGAGCAGAATAGTGACACGTCATGTGATTTCTGTTTGCAGGAACAATGTTAACGTCGAAGGCGCCACTCACAAGCAAGTAGTGGATCTGATAAAATCGGGCGGCGATGTTCTCACCTTGACCGTTATTTCCGTGACGCCGCAGGAAGCGGAACGGTTGGAACCCTGCGAGGATTTGAGGTAAGAACAATATTTGAGCTTAGCATCGGGGGTTCAACAAATCCGGCGAAATGGAAACTTGATGGAAGTCATATTAAATTATCGCTTGAAGTATCTTTCGATGCTGATAAAATATCGCGATTTTCGATAAGATCCTCGACGTATAACAGCCTTGAGTCTAATAATTGCCAATCTTATAATTGTTTATCTAAACTATTCGATTGAAGAACACAAACACATGTACAAATATTAAGTGCGTTACATTTTGTTTAGCTACGCATCGGTGGACTACAGCGAGAAGCGATCTCTACCTATCAGCGTTCCGGATTATCACGTTCGTGAGAGAAAACACGAGCGTTACGTAGTTTTTAACGTCCACATGGCCGGCAGGCACTTGTGCTCGCGTCGATATCGGGAGTTCGCGGCGTTGCACTTGGCGCTGAAGAAGGAATTCATAGGCTTCAATTTCCCGAAGCTACCAGGAAAATGGCCATTCCAGTAATGTCTTTGGACTTAATTTTGTACGACGCGTGTAAATGCATATCGCGTTCAGTTGCGGAATGAATGAGTCTATTCAGTATTGACGTTATAATCGTGCCACATAAATTACGAGAGTACATTCAAGACCGCATTTCCTTACACTTTAAATATCTGTTTTCTCTGTGTAACATTGTTTAACAAAATAGAAGACATTTATTATGCACATTTTAAGAGTATAAATTTATTTCGTGGCAGATTGAGCGAGCAACAACTCGATGCGAGAAGACGCGGCTTGGAGCAGTATTTAGAGAAAGTCTGCGCGGTGCGCGTAATAGCGGAGAGCGATGCCATGCAGGAATTCTTGACAGACAGATTAGAAGAGGACGGTGATCAGGGCCCGGCGGTTGATTTGAAGGTTCTACTGCCAGATCGCGAAGTGGTAACCGTCACGGTTCCGAAAGCGGCGTCGGTGAAAGACGTCTATGACGCGGTTTGCTGTCGAGTTGGTTTAGACGCGGAAACAGCCAAGTATTTTTACCTGTTTGAGATCGTCGAGTACAATTTTGGTATGCGCTCAAATTATTCAATGCAAGCGTAATCAATTCTGAGTATGTAATACGGTTTGTCATTTAACGTAACTGTGTTGTATTTTTAGAACGGAAGCTACAGCCTCACGAACACCCGCACACTTTATATATACAGAATTATTCAACTGCCAGCGCGACGTGTTTGGCGATAAGGAGGTGGCTTTTTAATGTAAATAGGCCTCTGAGCGAGCAGGCATTAACCTGGATATTTTGGCAAACAATCGACGAAGTAAACAGGGGTCACATCACCGCGGGAGAACGATTGTATCAGCTGAAGGCTCTGCAAGACGCATCCAGAAAGCACGAGGTCCGTTCACAATAAAATTGCTCGCGTATCTTTAATGCATGCGCTGTTGAATTTATTATGCAATTTTACAGTATTTAAAATTGGCGAGGGAGCTCAGCGGATACGGCGATATCGTGTTCCCACATTGCGCGTGCGACTCGAGAAAGGAAGGTCACGTTATACCTGCGGTGGGCATGGCAGCTTTTAAATTGCACGCCGCGAAAGAAGACGGAACTCTGGAATCGCAAGTGGTGGAGTTCCAATGGAACACCATCGCCCGATGGGAAGTAGACGAGGACGGAATGGCGTTCTGCTTCCAATACACGCGCCAGGATAATCGTCCACCTCGTTGGCTCAAAGTCTTCACTCCTTATGTGAGTATCGCGATTCCAATAAACAAATTCGTGTATTCCCTGATGGAAATATTTTGCTGAAAGTACTATGAAATCAATGAAAAGTAAAATGAAAGTTTTTGAAAAATTACTGAATATATTTTAAAATAAGTCATAATTTTCCGTATGAAAATTTAATGTAATACTACGAAATATAAGGAAAGTTAAAATATACTGCTGAAAAGTAATAAAAGAGTTTTTAAATAATTATCATTATGAAATTTACTGAATTAAACTGAAAACTGTTACTTTTTAATGAAAAATTGCTGAAATATTTATGAAATTAATTAATGGTGTGGTTTATCAATTGAGAGAAATTTTCAAATACGTTTCAGCAAAATTTCGTTATATTTTTAGAAAAATATTTCCATCAGGGTTTTGCAATGTAATTTATATAAATCTCTGTTTTACGCATCTGATAATATTGTCCTTGCAGTATACGTTCCTCTCGGACTGCTTCGATCGAATAGCTGAGGAAGCGAAGTGGGACGACCCAGGCGAATGACGTAATGTTCGACGCTAAGGGGCATCCAGTGTATAACGTTAAAGGTTTTTTCATCTCACATTCGTCTTCATAGTCGAAATTTTTTACTAGGGCTAGGCAGTCTACAGACCGGTACCGAGTCAGCGTAATACTTTCAGCATATCAAACTTTCCATCTGTCGACCTCGCGATACATTATGTAAAGAATATTACCGAGTCACACACCGAGAGAACGTTTGCCCGCGCTATCATCAGACGAATAAATGCGAATGAAAGTAGATGAATGTCCCGGTGAAAGCAACGCTTCGTAACTAATCGCGAGAAGTGATACGAAGATTCGACGAATACGATGTAACATTGAAACACTTGCAAATAAGAGTTATCTGTTCGTGAACAGAATGTGATGTTTAAATTTAGTCCGGATTTATTGTACGCCACATACGTCCATGACCACGATGAAGAGATCTGGGATATGTAGTTTGATCTAACTCAGTGCATAAGATAATAAATGCGTTATTGCGCATAAAAGAATACAGCTCGAATTTTTTTTGTTTCGTCGATGAAATCCGTGCTGCGCACTTTCCCTTACAAAACTCACATGCGAGAACGTGAGAGGATTACGTTGGCGTACAAACGCGTAGGGATATTATTATGGGGACACGATCGCCCGCCTAGAAAACACCTATCCTTTTGGCCTATAAGTTATTATAGCGTGCAATTCGATTTACCGGTGATTTACATAAATGTTCCTTCTTATTCGCCTAATAGACCTGAAACTTTCTTTCATTAGATTTTTGCATGAGTGTATCGATCGAGTGTTTAGCGCGAGAAATAATGCCATGATACTTTGTGCATTTTCTAATGTGCAATATTTTGTAATTCAATATATATATTTGTCAATTCCGCAGGATACTTTAAAACGGAAGATATCGTTTGATTATCGTTTATATGAGAGTTAACAATGTATTGACAGAAGCACGTCCAACGTTGCTGTTGTGAATTTCACTCATATTTTTTGCAATTAAGGTAAGAATTGTTTGAAACAAAATAGATACATATCATAATAGATAAAGTTCATCAGCGATTTCATTATAAGTGTTTCTTTTAAACTATCCTGTGTAGCAAGCAAATATTTAACACACGCGTGACTATGGCTAATTCCACGCGTCGCATAAATAACATGTAATAAATCCATCAGTCCTGTACACATTTTGTTATATACGCCATTAAATATAGAATATTAATCTTAATAAAAAGTAGAGAACAAATTGTAAATATCGGTGTTGCAAATATACTTTTTGAGAAGAAACTCAGTCGTTTCGATAAGATCGATGAACGACTATTGGCAAAATCGAAAGCAAAGGCAGCGGTTTGACTGTCGCGCGAGACTGTGCGTGTAAATCATGAGTGTGCAGAGGATGACAGCCGAGAATTATTTTTCAATCAGCATTCTCTCGATTAAAACTTTATCGGGGCTACTCCCCCATCATTAAATTTATAAAGATACTGTACGATAGAAAATGCG